CTGTCCACCAACAGTTCCACAGACACATTTCCTAATACAGGGCCAGAGCCAAAGCCGGACTGCGTTCCCAGTTTGGCTCGAAGACTTCCTCTACACAAAAGCAATAGAGGCCAAGTTCAGAGGAGATGGAGAGGCCTATCACCAGTTTATCTGGCTGTGGTGGGTGGCTCTTAGGAGCCCTTGGTGTCATGTGTCCCTGCACACCTCAGCGGCACGCGTGCAGTGGGCCTTGTGATAGCTGTCTGTCTCCTCGCGCAGCAGCAGTACCTGGACCTGGGACAGGTCGGCCCAGCTATTTCCAAACTCCACATTGTCCTACCACAGGCAGCGGTGGGCGATGCGTGTCCTCCCTATGGATCGACCAACCATTTACTTGGCACAGTCAGACCTCTCAGGCGGGAGCCGGCCTGTGAACTTTATACTCGGTGAGAGCCCCGCCGCATGCTACGTCTGCCAATGGGATGCAGGTATCCCGGAGCCTAGGAATGCCATTGGCTGGTCTGCGACGCATGAAGTTTCTCCAATCAGGTAAAAGCTAGAAGTCGCCTCATTTGCATACTGCCCGAGAGCAGCCGCGTCGCCTCCATGAACTAAAGGACAGAGCGATGGTCCTTTGGCGCGGCCCCACTTCTCAAGTACATGTGCACTCTCCGTTTTCCTCCCTGCCTGGTGGCACTGGTGGGCAGGCGGAGCGCGCAGTGTCTCATGGGCCTGCGGCCGGGAGTGAGCTTCCAGGGTCCGCAGAAACACTAAGCCGCAGCCAGGTTGGCCTTACCCGGAAGTGTCGCCTTCTTGCTGGGCGCCCGCCCGGCCCGGGCATTGCGCTCGGCCGGCCTGGGTGCGGAGGGAGGGGGAGTCCGGAACGTCGTCCTATACCCGCTCGGTTGGAGCCAACCATAAACAGAATCTTTAAAATTAAGGGAAGAAAGGAGTCTGCACGCAAAGGCAACCGGGAGAAGTGCGTGCAGAGGGCGAGGCCCCACTCGGTCACAGAACGAATTCAGTTGCTCATGCGGGGTGTGGGATTGAGAAACTCTTAGCAAGAGGGCAGTCTTGTTCTGCCAGGCAAGAGAAGTGAGAAGCCTTTGTATCTGTAACTGGCGTGTTTTATTTCCGGTTGCTTTAAATCTGCCCGTATTTTTGCAAAACGGTATGTTGGAGATGGTTACTCTGTCCTGTGAAAGTTGACTTCTGACTGGTTGACCGACTTACTGATCGCTTGTGTTGACGTCTGAATTGACATTCCATTTCTAAAGGCTTTATAAATACTTGAAATAAAAATGGTCTTGTAAATACTTGAAAGACATCAAATGTAAGTGGCTCACCAGCACATCCCTCTTCATGGAGGTTTAATAAAACCTGAATCCGAAAATTTTTTAATTAAAAATGACGTTAGGGGCCTTTGTTTCATTCAAATTGTCTCCTGCGTGAGGTCCCCACTAGGAAAGGGAGCACTTACCTTCCCTGGACCACCTAACTTATGGAAGGTGGGGTGGGGTGGGGTGACTTTGGGGCATCTTCAAGCCTGCTTTACCAGGTCCCTCTAACCAACGAGAACCTGTGGGCACCCTCACCTGAGTCATTTCAGCTGGTACCTAGTTTGTGGCCTGCAGCCCCTCCAGGGATCTAGGCTTCCCCTGCAGTGAGGTGGGCCTTTGCACCTGCCAAGGGAACGGCTGCTTCTGCCCCTCCCACACCTGAGGGTGGGTGGAGGGCCTTCCTGGAGAGAGGACTTCAAAGCCGCTGTCCCCATAGCCTCGGAGTTTTTAAGATGAGAAAGTACAAGAAGAAGAAATGGGAGTGGGGAGAAAGGTCCCCCCAAATCTAATCATGTGAGGCCACAGACACCGCTGGGTCTGTACTACAGGCCAGCATGCCTGCACACTGGAATAAGGTAAATATTTCTTGTTTCTGCATTGTTGGGGTCTCCCAGCCTTTTCCAAAAACTGAAGCTCCCTTCACACACACACACAGATGTGATCAGGGAACTGATTACAGAACTAGTTAACCATTAGTCACAGATAACACCAGACCTACAGTCCCCAGGAAGCCAGCCTTCCCGGATGTGAAGGCCTGACGTGGGCAGCACCAAGACCATTCAGTGTCCCCTGTCCCATTTTCCACCCCGCAGTCCATGTCACTTTTTCTTCTGCTTTGTTATTTATTCCCTTTATCCTCACCCCGCTACCCCATGCGAACTACTTGGCCTGGTTCCATGAATGGGTTTAGGGCATCCTTGCAGCCATGAATTGCTGAGTGTGCACATGTTCTAAACTTAGGTAAACACACCTAAATTTTGGGTAAGCTTCCTAATTTGTGTGACTCAGGTGCCCCAAGCCCAGGCAGGCTGCCCTAGGTCCACTTCCTCGTCTCCGCCAGGCATGGTGGCCGCGTTCTCAGTGACCTCCATCTCCCATTTGACCTCTACCTCCCCCAGTGAGGGGTCCAAACCCCCACCTGCTTGCCCACCTCACAGTGCAGCAGGCGCACTTGTGTGCACAACACCGTGGCCCTGGAGAGGACATCTTTGGAACAGAATGCCCAGGAGTGGGGTCTCTGGGTACAGGGACACTATGCCCTAAATCTGTTGACACCTGGCAGCCAGTGCCGTAGAATCCAGCAGCAGTGCAGGGGCCAGGGTGGGGGGCAGCTTTCTCGTCTCCACCAAACCCATGGTGCCCAGTCCTTGCTCCTGTGGGCGTGCAGTATCCACTGCTCCAAAACCTAAGGAGCCGAGCATTCCTTCCAGGGCTTCTGAGCCTTCTGGCCTCTCTTCTGCACCAACAGTCCACACCTTCGTCAGTGTGACCCTGTTCCAGTTGCTTTGGACTCTTCTTGATTTGCAGGAGTTCCCTGCATCATCTCGGTGGAAAGTATGCCAGGCCCGACACAGACTATCTTCTGCTGCTCCATCTGTGTTAACTCTGGCCATGGGGCACCTGGTTGAGCAGAAGAGGCAATTTTTAAGCCGGACCATCTCACCTGAGGCCAAGCACCAGTGGCCACAACCTGTCTGCTGGTGGCAGAGAATTGACAGCAGTATTCTTGACAAGCCAGTGGATGGTTCTCAGGAGGGTGCCATCCTGTGCAGTAGTTCCCAGGACCGTGCTGACATCTCTCTGGTGCACCACCCCTGGGCTGGAACTTCCTTGCTGCAAGGTGGCACATGCATGCCCCATAGTCCATGGCAGGACACAAGACTGCCAGCCTGGAACAGCCCCTTGAAGGCCATGTTGCCACACGCACATCTCCAAGCATCACATGGTGAGAGCACCTCTTCGTATGCTGCCACTGTCCACCTGATGATATAACTCCTCCACTAAGAGAAGGACCCGGGGCATCTGTCTCTGCCCCCACCTCCAGGACTAAGGATCCTGAAATTGAAAACAGGCCACAGGTCCTAACTACAGTGACTTTCCCACCAAGCTCTGGTATCAAGATTCAGAAGGAAAGGAATTTTATCTTAGCCCTGAGAAAATGAACCAATTTCTTGAAAAGCACCCCAGCTCTCTGCAGACAAACTTCTGCTTCTCGTCCTCCAGGCTGACCCCTGATGTGCAGAAGCTGCCAAATTCCTGGAGCAGCCACGGACCTGGGATTGTAGAGAAGCCATTCGCACTCTATGTCCTCTCAGGCAGAGCTTGGGAGGATCACCCATTGCAGGTACTTCCTATACTGTAATTTCAGCACAGACTTAGGAGATGAAGCACCCACCATGCAGACATCTGGAGGAGGAATGCTACTCCACAGAGACGGCCCAGTGCCAAGGCAGGGGACAGCAGAGAGGCCACCTGCAGACCACTGCACAGCTCTCACCAAGGACATTCACGGGAGCTGCTGGGCAGGAAGCCGCATCTCCCTGAACTTGAAGACCATGTGTGGTGGAGGCCTCCCTGCCCTGCAAGACACAGGCCAGGTGACCCCCCTCCTGTGTCCCCACATTGGGGACACAGGCAAGCTGGGACCAAAGGCATCATCAGTGCTGACCCTTGATCGGAGAAGTCAGGATTACCTATTATTAGGGTTACTTGGCCAAGGACTTAGGTTTGCCCACTGAGGGGAAAGTAGGCCCCCAGCATGTCGAGAGGAAGCTGGGCAGCTGGCCTCCCTCCTGAGCAAGTTTCGGGGACGCGGGAGCCTGGGGGAGCTCCCCAGTGTCACAGGAGAGATGAGAGGTGTGGGAGGCTCATAAGAGAAAACCACCCCCCCTACAAAAGGCCCTTCACAGGGCAGGGTAGATGCAGCACATACCCAGAGACTGGCTGGGTGCAGGGAATGGGCGCCAAGAAAACCAGCTGGAGCAAGTCTTCTTCACTGGGCTCCATAGACTATACACATGGGGGAATGGCGGGGTAGGGGGCAAAGCAGCACCAAAGGCTGGTGGCTTCCAAGTCTGAGAGGCTCATCTGGGAACAGTTCCATGGATCACAAGGCCCCATATTTTCAGGGCAACCTCTAGCCCCACCCACCCTGAACATCATGGGAACCCTGTCCCTCAGAGAAGGGTGGGCAGTGGACAGGGAGGCAAAGGCGGGGTCCTGGGAGACCACCAGCACCCAAAGAACAGGGCATGGAGAGAAATGCACACAGTGGAGTGAACCCACTAGGAGGCAGAGGGGCCAGACCCCAAGGACACCGCATGGGGATGGGGGCTGCACAGCCCAGACACACAGACCCCAAGTGGCCGCTTCTGCAGACAGACCTCAGGCTGGAGGTATAGGTTTGTGCTGGACACACTGCTGGGGGCCCAAGCCAGAGGGACAGCTCTGACCCACCCACCCCACCCAGACACCGTGGGCCTTTCCTCCCGACATGCACTGCAAATGTAACCCAATGTGCACAGTGCGTATGCATGGCTCTGCAAGCCTGGTGTGCATATCAGGTGGACCAGCCCCATTGCAAGGGTGGCATTTACACCCAGTGGGTGCCAGGGCTGGATAGGGACAGGGACCCAAGCCAACATCTGGGGACCCAGGCCAACATCTGAAGAGACTAGGCAGTAACGACCAAGAGCTTTATGTAAAGTCGGGATACACTGGGGTTAATGACCCCCCAATACAGGTCTTTACCAGGAAGCACAAACTCACAGAGGAAAAAGGGAGGGCACTCTGTTGAGAGTACCCACGATATTTGGCCCCACCTCTACACGGAGGTGAAGATCCTAGGGGGGGCCAAAGACACCGGCGGACCTGGTAGATCCAGGAGTTGGGTGGAGAAGCTGCTGAGGGCTGGGGATGGACTGAGCTTCTGAGCAGCTGGAACATCACTGCATGGTAGGGGGAGATGGAGAGAGCAGAGACAAAGACAGGTGCTGTGCTGGGACCCAGACCACGTGCTCCCCTGGCCCCATGTTATCTCCAAGGTGGAGCCATTCACCCACAATGATACCCATGGGAGCTGATTAACTCGAGTTGCCAGAATCCAAAGGACACCTTTGGGATCTGGGATTGGGTGAGTGACCCCAAGACCTTGCTGAGGAGGAAGACCAGCTCCTGGATTGCTCTTTCCCCAAGTTCAGGCTCAAACACACTGCAGGCAGGGGTTTGAAGGCCCCACGCTGGGTGAGCTGCACCCCGCACCCGCCGTGATCTTATCCCCTGCCCAGCCACCTTTGCCGGGCAATTGCCCACCTGGAGCAGCATGCTGAGACCCAGGTTTCGGTGTCGCCTCTCCAGCTCCGACAGGGCCTGCAGCAGGGACTTGAAGCGCTCCACTGGGTCCATGTCTTCGTCCTCCAGGGACCCCTCCTCTTTATCTGCCTCCTGCAAGAAGCGCTCCTCCTCCTCGGCAAAGAAAGCTTGTAGCTTCTTATAGTCAGCCAGGGCCTTCTTCCGGCGGTCCATCACGTGCCCCTGCAGGAAGGGCAGCAGGGAGGTGCACGTGTGCCCTTGATTGAGCTGGGACCCCCGCCCCACCACTGCCCACCTGGCCCTCCACGGGAGAACCCAAATGACACCTTGGCTGCAGAGGGCTGGATTGTATCCAAGGCACTGGATATAAGTAGTCAAGGTTCACACCCACCCACACTCCCTCTCCACCCAACACCCACTTACGCCCTGTCAAGGGCACCCGACTTGCCTTCCACACGGCGGCAGCAGACTCGGCCTGGCCGTGCAGGTCCCGCGCATCATTGAGATCTTTCCTCATAATCTCCACAGACCCCTTGCTTTCCTGGAGAGATACACTGATTACCAGGTGGGTGCACAACCTGGAGTGCCCAGGGCCCCTGAGCCCAGGCCAGGGGCTTGACACCACCTGAACGTCCAGGAGGAAGGCCCCAGTGCAAGGTCTCGGCCTGCCAGGTGGCATGAAAATGGGCTGCAGGTACTGGATGGAAAGGGGTCTTAGCGACCCTACTCAGCTCTCCCACAAGGAAAATCTGGTAGTAACACCACACAGAATCTAACTGGGTAACTGGACACACAACAGCCCTCCAGAGGCCCCAGTGTTACTATCACCGGCACAGGGATGCAGGGTAGCCCTTCCAGGTGAGCTCAGTCACACCCTGGGCCTGCCCTCGGTGGGGTACTGAGCAGGTGGGTGGGGTCCCCCAGCAGGAGAGCCAGCTCCAGTGGGCTGCCACCACCAGCCACCCCCAGTGCTCACAAGACTGTAGGACACCCAACTCACACACAAACACGCGGCCTCTCTCCCTTTTCCCTCCGCAGGGGTGGCCAGGGGCTACAAGGGCTGTGTCAGCACCAGGAACTTGGCTGCTTTATTCTCAGAAAAAATGCCGTACTCCCACCCCTTCCAACGGTTGGGTCCCCGAGTCCCCGTCCCTGGCCGCAGCTGTGACGATACTCTCATGGCTGGTTTCTACCCAGGGTCAGATGACTCCTGCAGTGGGCTGGAGCACTGCGAGAGGGGGGAGAATGTTCGAGAATGGAGTCTAAGAGGGTGGACCAGAAAGGTCTGAGCAGGTGCGAAGGCGGCCTGCAGGAAGCGCACTGGATCACAGAGAGGCTGACGGCCAGGCGGCTTCGCCGAGGGGACAGTTGGGGGGGTGGAATGGGTGGGAGATGGGGCGAGGGGCATGCGTCAGGGTGAAGTCACGCCTAGGGGCGGAGTAGCGGGTCTGGGAGCGAGGGGTGAGGGGCTGGGGGATGGGACCAGCCGCAGAACCGTGCTGCGGGTGGGGAAGGAGCGGAACAGTACACAGCGGGTATCCGGAATGGGTGAAGGGCGATGGGAATTAAGGGGTGCCACAAGACGCCAGCCAAGAGAGAGCATTGGGAAGACAGCACCATCAAGGGTGGGGTTGAAGGAGTGGGTACTCACTGGGGAAGCGGGGAGAGGGCACCGTCCAGGGGATGGAGAAGGCACAGAGCACGTCTGGGGGTCAGGACTGGGGATGGAGACGGGAGGCAGGACACCGCCCCGAGTATTGAAATAGGCGTGAACACAGCACCATCGGCGATTTGAGGAAGGGAGAAAGGGCATCATTCAGAAGACCAAGAGTCTAAGAATGGTCTTGGAGATCCAGAAATGAGGATGGGAAGGGAATACAGGATACCATCCAGCACGGGGACCCAGATGAAGAGAAAGGGCACCACCCGGCAGCGGGACCCGGATTGGGGTGGGATGGGGACGCGCGGCGCACGCTCGGGCGCACCTTGCCGCGCAGCGCCTTCCTCCAGCGCGGCTCCCACTCGGGCGGCTCGGGTCCCGTGGCCGTGCGGCAGGCGGCGCACAGCGGGCCTGCGTCGGCACGGCACAGCAGCTGCAGCGCCGCCTCCGAGGCCGGGCCGTCGCGCGCGGGCGCCGCGGCTGCCTCCTCTAGCGCCAGCAGCCGGCGGCTGAGCGGCGGGCGGCCGGGCTCCACGGCGCGCTGCCAGCAGTCGTCGGCGCACTCGGGGCACGGGAAGGGCCCGTCCTCCTCGGCCCAGAAGCGTACCACGCAAGCACGGCAGAAGCGGTGGCCGCAGTCGGCGCGTACCGGCTCCCGGGGCGCTCGCTGGCACAGGGCGCAAGCGGCCTCGGCGGGGCCCGCGGGGAGCGCCAGGGCGGCGGCGGCGGGGGCCCAGGGGCTGGGGATGGACGGAAGGCCGTGGATGGAGAGCAGGGTCAGGGCCGGAGGGCGCGGGCGGTGGGGCGGGCACGGAGGACTGCAGGGACCGGAATGGAGAGTGAGGACGGCGATGGGGAGGGCGACGAGGACGCCGGGGCGGGGACAAGGGCTCTGGAAGGGTCCTGGCAGTGGTGTGCTGCAAGAGAGGTCCTGGTAGCGGTGTATTCCACCTGCGTGTCCCAGCAACGGAGTGTTCTAGGAAAAGGCCGTGGCAGACGTGCGGTCCATCCCCGGGTCCTGGCAGCGGTGTGCTACAGAGTCCTGGCCCCTCTACTCAGCGCTCAAGGTCTTGGCAGTGGTGCTTCCTGCCGGTAGGCGGGCCGACGTCCTCATGCCCCGAAACCTTACTGGGAGTGTCATTTTCTCCATTAAATGACTCGTGAGGTAGCGGTAGTTTTATAACTCGAAGAGTGCACCTTACTTATCTTGCACGTGAGCTGCTAGGACCTGAGCTGCAAACCACCCATCCTTCGTCACCGCAACGCCCGCAAGGAGTGAACGGGTTTGGGAAACAGCCGACTGGGTAATCGCCGTGCTGGTGCCCCTCCGCGCGCTGTGTACCCGCAAACGTGCTCAGGTGGCCTCAAGCCAAACCCCAGGGTGCACCTGCCACCACGCAGAGGGTCTGGTGGTAGCTGCGCATGCCCGAGTTACTTTCCAAACTTTCCCTCCCCTCCCCCAGTGCTCGTGACTCCAGCCCCTCCTACCAAGCCCATTTACTGAAAAAAGTACTTTATGGGTGGAGCGTGGAGGCTTATTTGAGCCAGACTCCTGCCTGCTCCTAGGTTGTAAACCCTTTCCTCTGCAGAGGTATGTCTGTCTGGTTCGCGCTCCGATAATCGCAGGCCAAGGGCCACCCCCGTGGATTCCTTAACTGGTGGCCACGAAGAGCCTTCAGCGCTTCCTGGACATTTTTTCCTGAGACTCGCCAAACCGTGCCGGATTCTGAGCACCAGCCTGGGCCTGCGCTCGGTGACTTATTCCCGCTCTTCTGTCCGACCCGCTGTCGCTGGACTTCGGAGCCTTTTGCTGTACTGGGTTTGGAAGCCGTCTGTTTGGTGAGCGACCTGGTGCAAGTGATCGACCCCGCATACCCTTTGTTCGCTGGACCTTTAGGAGACTTGGACAGGGAGGGGGTCCAGGCTTCCGGAGGTACTCGGTGGTTTGGGTTGGTCTGAGATTTGCACACGTGAGTGTGACCCGCCAAGAATTGCAGCAGCTATCTAGGTAAGAATGGGCAACCAGAACTCCACGCCCCGGGGCAGTCCTTTGGACTATGTCCTCCGGCATTGGTCAATGTATACCTACAAGACCATGAAGAAGAAAAACATGGTGTTCTTCTGTAACATTGTTTGGCCAAACTACTCCCTAAATTCGGGAGAACAATGGCCTAAAAATGGTTCCTTGAACTACAATACCGTTTTGCAATTATATCTGTTTTGCAAACGAGAGAAGAAATGGGATGAAATGTTATACGTTCAGGTTTTTCTGTCTTTGTGTGAAAATAAAAATAAGCAAGAGAATCCCAAGAACGTGGTTCAGAAAGAAGAGCCTCAAAAGAATCGGAGTTTGCTTGACTCCAGTAATAAGGAAAAAAAGTCTCTAGTTAAGCCAGATACCCCTGCTGCCTCTCCACCCCCATCGGGAGGCTCTGGAGCCCCAGCCCCAGATGTATCACGACAAGAAAGGATCTCCTCTCAAGGTTGCCAGAAAGGCCAGGGGGTCACCCAAAGTCAAGCAGAACAGTTTCCCTCAAGGCAGTTGCCAGCTGGTGGAGCAGACACCAGCAGACAGCTGGTCCCACATGTATCAGGACAAGGGACGATGCCCTCTCATACCAACCAGGTTTGCCAACGGGGCCAGGGGGTCACCCAAACTCAAGTAGAGAAATATCCCTCAAGGCAGTCGCCAACTAGCGGAGTGGATATTAACAGGCGGTCCCCATGTCCCAGCTTCAAATGCACCCCATTTTCTATGTCTGAGTTACTTGGTGTGAAATTAAATATGCCTGCTTACCAGGATGACCCCGCAAAGATGGAAAACCTCTTCGCCTTCATCTTTGCTAAGTACAATCCCACTTGGGTACACATCGAAATCCTTCTGGCCACCTTCCTCACAGTGGAAGAACGTAGGATGGTTGTAGAGCAGGCCCGTGCTGAGGCAGATAAGATGCACGCGGAAGCCCCCTACAGCCTCGTGAGGACCCCTGGGTACTTGGCTGTGCCAGCCACTGATCCTTGCTGGAGTCTTAGAGATACAGAGGACATACATAAACTGGAGCATTACAGAGACTGTATACTGAAGGGACTCAGGAACGGAGTCCGTAAAGGGGGCTTTAATAAGGTCCTGGAAGTCTGGCAAAAAGCTGATGAGGATCCTTTCAGTTACCTGCACAGGCTTTTGGAGGCCTATCAGAAACATGTAGACATAGACCCGAAGGCCCCAGAACACTCCAAGATGGTGAACATGACTTTCATAACCCATGCCTCCTGTGACATAAAAGAGAAGCTTCAGAAGGTGGACGGTGCCATAGGCATGCCTACCTCACAGTTGGTCGAGATTGCCTTTCAGGTCTTCATAAACCGAGACCAGGTTCGGCAGCAGCAGGAGCAACGTAGGAAGAGACAGCAGGCTCTTGTGTCTGCACAAGAGTTGGTGCAAGTCATGAGACAGTTTGGACTTCTGCAATCCCCTCCGGTAAGGCCCCCAGGGCCCCGAAACTCCAGATCTGAGGGCCACATGAAGGTGAAACCATGGCAGTGTGCCTACTGCAAGCAGGAAGGACACTGGAAAAAAGAATGCCCTTCATTGATCAGGAAAACTGAAAGGCAGCTTCAGCTGCTTTCAGCTGCTGTATGGCATTGAGGACTGATGAGGAAAATACAGGGCCCGGGGCCTCCACAAAGCCGGACCAACTCCCTTGAGAGTCCCCACGCAGAGCCCTGGTCATCCTGACTGGGAAAGGGACAGAGACTTTCTGGTGGCCAGCAGGGCCACCTTTTCAGGATTCAATGCCCAATTAGCCAAGTGAGCTCTGGAAAAAAACTGTTGTGATTGGAGTTTCATTGCTAAAATCAACTTTAAGCTCTAGTGCCAGGTGGGGAAGAAAGCCTCCAGCACAGCTCCCTCTCGCTGCCTGTTGTACCCCTCTCCAGGTGGGACTTGCTAACTGACTAAAGGCCAGGGCTCCCTTTTCACCGGAGAGGGTATATATATATAAGGGCACCTCGGGAAAATGCATGCAGACATGACTGGGTTCAGCTCATGGGCAGCAAGAAACTTAACTGCTGTCGACCCCCAGGGTATTACACCGCAGAATGAGGAATGTTCCAAGTGCGCTTAAAAAGCTCAGCCATCAGAATTCCGGAACAGCTGCATTACAAGTTTTCACAGCAAAGAACTAATACGAAATTGAAAATAGGAGGAACCTAAAACAAAAAATGTTTAAGACTGCCTGCTCCCACTCTTTTCCTTTGATTCCTCATTGGAGTAATCCACCGTTGTTTTCCACTCCGAAAGTAAGTTGATGGCCTTATGGACACCCGGCCAGAAAAACAGGCAGAAGCCAGCAAAGGGTCAAAATTCTTAGCATCAACCCATCTGCATTTCCGTAGTGCCCAACAGAGAGAGAGGAAACTAACATTTCACGTATCTCCTATCTCTTCATTCAAATCCAGACCTGTTGTCCTTGGTCCCATCTGTCCCAGGGAGAACTAGGCCCTTGTCGTTCACTTTGTGCCTGCTTGCCTTTTTTCTCATCCTAAGAATGGGGCCTGGCTCTCAGCCTGCCTGGGACATGGACCTTGTTGATTTCTGCTGACCCTGTTTGGGAGCAGGTCTGATCTTGGGAAGGTGGTATCCCCGACACTCTTGGGGGAGTTACTCAGTACTGCCAAGAATATTTACTGTTCATCCTAGTTGAACACTGAAAAGATTTTAAAAGAATTTGTCTTTTCTTTTTTTCTTCTTTTTTTTTTTGTAAGCTCTGTAGTCAAGAAGTTGGCTAGATTAGAAACTGGTATTTAGAAACTGATAGAATTTTTTTTTTTTTTTTAGCCTTCTCCCCGTAGTGTCAATTAGAGCTTAGGTAGGAAAAAAAAAATGAAAGAAACAAAACAGATTCGTAACCACAGAGAAGGAACATGGTTGTATGGGTGGGGTGAGGCCATGGTGAAATGAGAGGTGGATTAGAATGTTTGATACCTTGATCCTGGTGATGGGTTTTGTGAGTGTATCAGGCTGTACATCATGATTTATGCATTTTATTGTATGTACCTCAATTTTTAAAAAATGGAGGATAATGTAGTTCAATAGGTGCATCAGCCTATGATGTCATTTAACGTACAATTCTTTTGAGAAAAGCAGCCAAATCTTTGCAAAACCGTTAAGCACAGCCCTAGAAACATAACCAAGTCCATCTGAAACTCCTTAAGATCATCCTCAGAAAAAGGATCATAAGGATCTTTAAAAACACAAACCTCTATAAAAGTACCCTTACCCCAAAGTGCCCTTGCTTGTCAAGGAGAAATAACAGATCTTAAGTGTCTTCTCCACAAATACCAGTAACTGACATCTCTGTTTGAGTCTTGTCTATAATGTTCAGGCATGTCTGTCTTTATATGTGTGATGTGGTATTTTTCTGTCCCTGGATGGTGTTGCTTAGAGCTCTTTTAAGTAGTTTAAAGATAAGTGCATATAAATTAAGCATTTTAAATCTCAGACATGATAGAAATGAACAAGTTTTTTTCAAGGTTTTATAGTCTCAGATTATTTTTGGTAAATAAAAAGGCAGCTTAAGTTCATTGGTTTAACACAAATAGACATGTCTCTAAGCTACCAGCAATGTGTATGCTTTTATTCCACCTAGGGTTACTAGGAACAAGCCCTTTCCATCTGTTACAAAATGTGGCAACAATTACTTGGGTACAAAAAGACTTTTACTTCAAAATAGCTTGCAAAATATTTTTGGTAACTTGAAACCTCCAAAAAGTGGTCCTAGGTTGAGTGATGAATTCAGTTACATTCATTGGATATCTAGATCATTTCTAAGTAAGATAAAATGCTGAAACATTAGTTACTCAAATAAGCCTCAGAAACTAGCCATAACCTTGAATGTATTTGGTAAACAAGTTTTGTACTTTGTGAAAGATTGTACTATGAAAAAGCATATGTCTGTAGAAATTACAAAATGGTACTCACAAATTTGCCAGTCTAAAGAATGTTGGTGTAACAGACTGTTCACAATTGTTTATGCTTACTTTTCACCAGAAATTAAGGTCTCTGAAAGTTTGAGATTCTCACAAGTGTAATTAAAACATCTAGAAATAATAAGG